TCTTTCTATTTTGTTCAAACTCTTACTATCTGCGTATTTTCTCTCTCATTCTTTTCTCCTCTCTCTAGTATCTATCTATCTATCTATCTCTCTATCTATCTATCTATCTCTCTATCTATCTATCTATCTATCTATCTATCTATCTGTCTATCTATCTATATTCCATGTCGTATTATAATGATAAATTGTAGTCGTTAAATGCCCAGAACAACAGCTGCTCGCACATGGCAGAGTAACAAATAGGCCTGCCAAAACCTCGTCTCAAGCCAATTTTGTTAAATGTTCTTTTTCTTTTTCTTTTTTTTTTCTCCTCCAGACGAACTTCCCCAAAGACCCTGTGCCATCGTCGCTGTGAGCACGTATTGGTGACGTCAGCATCATGTGTAGAGTATACCTTAGCAAGCTGGAGAGACAACACATCATCGTGTACGGAACCTTCTCTGGAGAGACTTCAAGGACACTGTGCTACTTCTGATGTCGTGATAATGGTTTGCTTGCTGTGGCTAACGTTTATATTCAGTAACTTTTTATAATAACCCTATCCGTACGTCACGTTTTACTATTGTATCCATACGATGTGGGGAAATCTGTACCACCACTTAACCCTATCCGTACGTCGTGTTTTACTATCGTATCCATACGACGTGGGAACTCTGTGCCACCACTTTTTAAAGAGGAAATTTACTCGTTAATGCGATCCGTACGCTTTGCATAGCAGTCTGTCAAAATGATTTTTTGAGAAATACTTAGTCTCAAAAAGGTCTCCGTACTAGAAGTATTCTAAAATGTGAAGAATACAACCCCGGAGGTACAAAGTAACCCCAGGGTGTACGGATAGGGTTAAGAAGATATTTATTTACTATCTTCGGTATTAGATTAAATTTGATGGCAGGGCTTTGCAATTTTTCGAAATAATTATCAACGTATGATGTATATATTTCTGAACGTGTTATCCGCTTTCTTCCTAATCATAAAAGAACAATTAAGCTGACTTGAGCTGTTTATTTTTCAATTACAGGTACTTTTGGTAATCTGTAGACGAACAAATTGCAAATTTAAATAATGATTACCAGGATTCAATCAAGACTTACATATCAAAGATAGGGCTTATCATTAAATTGTTCTTAATGTTTTCTTAATTATAAAAGAAGATTTGAGAATAATTGAATGTTTCTCTCCTATTAGAACTGATTTGGACATCTGTTCCCTGCCAACTGTCAAATGTTAATCAGGCTCGTCAGGACGCAAGAACCATTAGCAGAAGAATAATACTCAAAGATTTTAATTCCCTGCTTTTCTTTTTACCCGTGACTGTATAATTGAAAGTCATTACACTACCACTAGCTTAGCTGTGAATGCCAAAGCAATCTTAATTGTGCATTAAATAGTATCACGTTTCCCAATATATTATTGTGACTGATTATTAAAATCCCGACATAATTCAATTTTCTCCCGACAGGTAAGAAGAGCTCATTTTGCTACCTCATAAAGCACGTGACAGGTGTGAATGTATAATATTATGAAATAAATGTTAACGTGTTTCATGTCTCCGAGGAAATCTGTTCTGTAGTACTAGTAGTAGTGTAGGGTTTAACGACGCTCGCAATTGCATAAGGTCATATGAGCGCGCGAAGAAATCAGTTCGACTCAACACTTTGACTGGAGGTTGGATTAAAGGAGTCAGAAATCTTAAGGGTCAAAGTCGACGTGTCTTCGATTCAAGAAAAAAAGAAAGATAATAATAATAATAATAATAACATTAATAATAATAATAATAATAATAATAATAATAATGATAACAACAACAAAAAAACAGCTGGACTTTCGAGTGGTGTTATTCAAGTTCGGATATTTTGTAAAGTACGTCATAATAAGTGTGATTTCAAACCAAAAAATAATTCCGTTCAAATGCTATGCCATGCGGTGTTCTATGACGTAAAGCGTCATTCTACGAACTCTATTTTGAACAAAATGTTACTTAAACCCTTTATTTTCCAATGCTCTTAGATTCCAGTATTCAATGCACACTTGGAATTCCCTTGGTTTTGTGTAGGTTTTTAGTTTCGCTTTTTTTCAGTGAAACCACTGTTTATCTCTTGTTTGTATCATAAGGTTATCTTTGTTGCAAATCCAACAGGGGAACCATTTAGGCTAAACAGAAAAGTTGTGTTCTTTTTTGGAATGACTTACGCTACGTAATGCTTTCTGGAACGAAGGAGCACCATGTGTTCTGCTTCAGAGTAAAGACCAACAAACAAAAATATATTATATTATATTCGCCGGCGCCCCTATAGTTTGAAAATGATACGCGTACTTCCAAGGACTTCCTGAGGAATGTGGCATCGAAGACGAACACAAAAGTCATAATTTGGTTCCTGATCCTGAGGATGCTCTAATATGGCAGGAGCGAAGCATGGAGTACAGACCGTGGGAGTTCCTTCTTTGGACTACCAGAATTTGTGATTAGAAAACAAAACAACAACTTCTACACATCTGCTGCTCCGGCTGGTAATATTCTGACATGGATATGACAGAAGACAGGTTTTCTGTCAATGTGACGGGGGCCTCTATGGGCGCTCCGCTATCGTTTAACGCCACCAATGAGACGTTTGATGGATCTTTTGAAAGCCCATTTGCTGTTCTATTCTATCGCTACATGTTCATCGTCATCTACAGTATTATCTTCATCGTATGCATAGCAGGTAAGCCCCTTTACACTTTTTTTCTTTGTTTTTGTTTTTGGTAAGTGTTTTACGGCGCTCGCAACTGCATAAGGTCATATGAGCGCGCAGGACACACCTAATATTTTCAGTTGGTAGAAAATTTTGAATTTTGCCCGGGTGGCGGCCGAAGCCTACTCTTATCGATTTTAGACCACCAAGGGATCTTTAACGTGCACAACTTGCACATGGGCCCTCCGAGAATTTTCACCCTTGTTCGAGAAGTCCTTTACGTTTATAACAAAAGTAGTTGTAACACCATCATCCCTATTTTAACAACTGTAAGAAACACAACAAAAACGCTATCTTCACAATAATCAATCACATAAGAACCAACAGCATTGCCGTGTTTGTCAATATCAGCAACAGCTACAACAACAAACAGCATCAGCAAATGTAACAGCAACAGCAACATCAACAGACAAAAGATTTTTTAAAATCTATTATTATCTCTTTTTTGTTTTACCTTTGTTTAATGTTTTCGATCTAGTTTGTGCTTCCAATTCACATTTTTATTCTGTTCTTTCTATAATATATCTGTCTTGCTTTGTCGCCCATCATCAATTGTTCTTCTTCTCCTCTTAAAAGCATAATCAAACTTATGAGTATTCTCTTAAATTGATTTTAACTGTCAGATGGTATGAGCGCGCTCATATGACCTTATGCAGTTGCGAGCGCGGTAAAACACTAAAAACAGATAATTTCAAAACTGTATGGCTTGAGGCAGTTCTCATAATTAACACTTTCTCGTTGTGTAAGTTTGTGGTTGGTTTTCCACTAGTTTAGACTGTAAGCAGACAGACTCTGAGAGGGATCCTGAAGAGGGCGCGGGGAGAGCAGAGATGGACAAGTTCCGACTGTAGTGACCCCAACACTGTGGACAAGGTGTGCTCGCAACTGTATAAGGTCATATGAGCGCGCGGGACAGACTAAACTTTTTCAGTTGGTAGGAAATTTTGAATTTTGCCCGTGGGGCGGCCGAAGCCTGTTCTAATCTTATCGGTTTTAGACCGCCAAGGGATCTTTAACGTGCACAACTTTCTCACGGGCCCTCGGACATTTTTAGCCCTTTTCCGAGAAGGCTAGGTGTAGATCTTTCCTACCAGAAGATCAGGGTTGTGGCTGTAAGACAGCAATAACAAGGAGCCAAGGAATAGCAGTAGAAAGGCTGCAGAAAGAGTCAGGAGCCCAGAGGAGGGGGGTAAAGGAGTTGAGGTGGTGGGGACAGAAAGAGGAGATGAAAGCAGACGACAGAACATTGTTAGAGAGCTGGAAAGAAGGTGAAAGTAAGCAATTTTAGGAAAAAATTATTTTCGGTCATTACCCGGATTCGAAACCCGGACCTTTGAATGAGAGGCCAACACCTTAACCTCTAGGAGACGAGAGCCCCC